TTCTGGTTTCAAAGGTGGAATTTATTATTTATATTTCCAGCGGAATAGAAAGTCTTCCCTTTGATCCAATTTTCTCAAGTTGGGTTAATGTTATCAAAAAAGTGCCAATCTAGAATTGTTTCAAGAGCTTAAAGGGCATTTAATTTTTTTTTCGAAATTCAAATGTTCAGATTTTTTCAACAAAGTCAAGTCGTTTTTCTGTTTACTTGCATTTATTACTCTTTTGCCGCTGTCAGTTGGCTTTGTTATTTTAATGCAAGTGTGTTGGTATAGTGATAGAAGGCGGTAACTCAGAAATTTCTTGGCCATTGAGGAATCCTATTGTCGTCACACTTTTTTAACCCGTCAAGGAGCATTTTCTATCAAGGTTTATTTATTAAGAGTTGATGAACGTAATTCAGATTCTTATATAGGTCGCGATGATTTTTTTCGTTGTTTTCAGGAAAAATCTTTTTTTATTTTTTTTCAGGCTCAACTTCACATTTTTGCCGTTTTATTTTTGATTTCTGAAGTTCAGTTCATTGTTTTTGCGCAAGCAACGCTTGTATTGTAGTCTGAACTCCCTTTTTTCCAACCTAATTCGCAAATTTTGTTGCGACAAAATGTGTTCATTTTGAAAGTCGATTTCGATCATCAACCAGCGATTAAACAGCCAATGCTAAGGATTTTAACACAGACTTTTGTATTACAAATAGCACTATATCTTCAAGGTATTATGGATAGGTAGCGTAGAGGTATGTTTTTTTCGCTGGGAAAAGAATTCATTTCGCTCAATCTGAATTGCGGGAAAAAAAACCTTTTAATTTCTATAAAAGCTATAGTCAACAGACAGTTTAGAAAGTGAAGGCACTCCTGAAAAAAAAAGAATAATCTTTGGGGACCCACAACAAAATAAGAGGGCTCGAAACTGGGCAGGGTCGGGTGTTTTAAATGAACTTTTTTCGTGTACTAGCTAAACTGCGTCCGCTTCATAGATTGTGGCATGTTAGTTGGTAAATTTTTTGCTTTCAAATTGATTGGTACTGCTAATGCGTCATAATTCTCTTGTATCACTCTGCAATTATGTAGACACATAATTGGCGTGCGTCACATAAGAAAGTTTCCAAGCTCAAAGTTTTACTCATTCGGTTTTTCCCAGTGGCGGTCATATTTTTCCTTGCGTATGCGAAGGGCAACTTCGCCTCTGCGTATAAACTTTGAATTAAATATTTTTTTCAGGAGTTCCTTTACTTTCTAAACTGTCTGTTGGCTATAGCTTTTCTCGAAATTAAATTTTTTTCTGCAATTAAGATTGGGCGAATTAAATTCTTTTCCCAGCGAAAGAGCATAACTATTGGTCCAGATGCTGCCAACTGGTTTGTTTTTTCAATAATGTGTCAATCATAATGCTTTCGTGAAATTGAAATAGGTTTAAGGTCAGAAATATTTTTGAGGATGCCTAAAAATAATCAGCTGTTTTGCTTTACTATGTTCATTGACACTTTGCCAACTGTCTTATAGTATGAGCTCTCTTTTTCCCCAAGCTAAAGTCGCAAATAATGCTTCGGAGCAAGTTTTGTTGCGACAAATAGTTTTCATTTTGAAAGTGTTCTTTTCGATCAATAAATAGTGATGAAGTACAGTCAATACTAAGGATATTAACACACACTGTTATTTTACAAATAGCAATATAGCTTCAAGGTATCATGGATCTGTTTTGTAGGGAAAGGGACATAAAAGATAAGAGGGTTCGAACACGGGCAGGATCGGACGTTTTTAGTGAACTTTTTCGTATACTAGCTAAAATGCGTCCGCTCTAAAGGTTGAGGCATGTTAGTTGGTAAATTTTTTTCTTTCTGGTACTGGTTTAAGGCGTCATAATTACCGTGCGTCTCCTAAAAGTTTTGTGGGCCAAAGTTTTATTCATTCGGTTTTGCTAGTAGTGTTATCGGGCATTTTTTTTTTTGCTTGCGTATGCGAAGTGCAAGTTGGCCTCTGTGTAAAAATTTTAAATGAATGATTTTTTTCCAAGAGTTCATTTAATTTTTTAAACCGTCTGTTGGCTATGGCTTTTCTAGAAGGTAAATTTTTTTCCCTTTAAGATTATTGGGCAAATTTAGTTCTTTTCCCAGCGAAATGGAATCACAACTATTTGTCCAGATGCTGCAAATTGGTTGGTTTTCTAAATAATAGTGTCAATCATATTAAATTCGTGAAATTGAAAGTTTTAAGGCTAGATATATTTTTTGAAGATGCCTAGAAATATTCAGCCGTTTTGCTTTCCTGCATTCATTGACACTTTGCCCACTGTCTTCACTATATGCACAGGTCATTTTTTCTCCAAACTCTTGCGCGCAACTTTGTAGCTAATTTTTTCTATCAAAATCTCAATTTAATCTATTTTTTATCGAAGTTTTTTTGTCGAAATTTTTCTATCGACAATTTTTCTAATTTTGCCTCTAATTTCTCTTTAGAAATTTTTCTTTAGAAGTTTCAATTTAATTTGTCCTCGTCGGATTTTTTTCTTGTTGAGAACTTAAATTGGATGTTTTTATATACCTTTTATTCTCGAGAAGCTTCGCCAAGAATTTTTTTCCAAGTAAACAATTTTAAATCATCAATATGAATTTTGTGGTCAGTCAACGATATCGGCTATTTTTAAAAGTCTTTTTTTATTGCTTATTAAGAGTAATGAGCTTAGTGAAGACTCTTATATAAGTCTTAGTGATTTTTTTTCAGGAAAAGTCTTAAATTCTCTTATAACTACAGATATGCATTCATAAAGATTAATGCATTTATGAATGCACTGAGGTGTATATGCCTTTTTTGAGTTCAATTGAAATTCATCTGCTGAAAGTTACGCAAATAGCACGCTTCAACTAGGAACGCAGAAATTTCGTAAAAATCGTGAAAAATTTGTGTTTCAAAAGTGGAATTTAGTTTTTACATTTCCAGCGGAATAGAAACTCTGTTTTCTCTTAATGATTCAATTTAATTCTTATTGATCCAGTTTTCTCAAGTTGGGTTAATATTTTCACAAATTTGCCAATCATAAATTGTTCTAGAATTTCAGAGAGCTTAACGGGCATCTATTTTTTTCTTTGATTTTCGAAAGTTCAGATTTTTTCAACGAGAAGTCAGTTCGTTTTCTGTTTACTTGCCTTTATTAATCTTTCCAACTATCGGTTGCTATGTTATTTTAACGCAAGTGTGTTGTGTTAATTTGTAGAAATCGGTTTATCTGAAAAACTTTTGGCATTTGGGAATCACATATTCGCAAATTTTTTTTTACACTTAGAATTGATGAATGAGTTCTTATTCTTATATAGGTCGCGATGATTTTTTTAGTTGTTTTTTCAGCAAAAATCTTTTATTTTTTTTTCAGGCTCAACTTCACTTTTTTGCCGTTTTGTTTTTGATTTCTTAAGTTCAGTTCATTATTTTAACACAAGCATAGCTTGTGTTATTGTATGAACTCACATTTTTTCCCAACCTAAGTCGCAATTTTTAATGCGGAGCAGTTTTTGTTGCGACAAAGTGTGTTCATTTTGAATGTGTTCATTTCGATCAATTATCAGCGATTAAGTACAGCGAGTGCTAAGGATATTAACCCAGACTGTTATAGTTCTAATAGCACTATAGCTTCAAAGTATCATGGATTTTTCTTATACTAGCTAAAATAGGTCCGCTCATTAAATTGAGGCATCTTAATTGCTAAATGTATTATTTTTTTCGAATTGACCGGTACTGCTAATGCGTCATAGTTGGCTTGCGTCGCTTAGCAAATATGTAGACACTTAATTGGCGTGCGCCACTTAAAAAGTTTTTTAGACTCAAAGTTTCACACATTTGGTTTCCCAGTAGCGTAATAGTCATATTTTTGCTTCTGTATTTGACGTGCAACTTCGCCTCTGTGTTTAGGAAGGCAAACTCCACTTTACTATCGAACAGCAATGTGTAAAGGTCACGAAAAATGTGATCGACTTCTTGTTTTGGAAGTGGATTTTAGTTTTCAGATTTCCCAGCGAAAGAAAATTATCCCTTGATTCTTTTTTCTCAAATTAAATTGTTCTAGAATTTCAAAGAGCCTTAAGGGCATCTATTTTTTTCTTTGAAGTTCGAAGATTGAGTCTTTTTTAAAAAACAAGTTGGCGTTTTTTGCTGTTTAATTGCATTCGTTGACTCTTTTCCAAACTTTCTGTTGCCTATGTTGTATTTTAAATTTGCATTTTTGAATTCCCATCCACAATTTTTGCGTGATAAGGTCATTTTGTGATGCGTTTCGGTTGTAATACAGTGATGAGCATCTGTTTACTATTTCGATCACTTCCCTAAAGGGCTGGTATGAACTATGCCTTATCTAGTTTTTTCCGCCTGATTTTTAGTACAATTCTTAAGGGGTCATTTTGTTCAGAGTTGATTAACTTAGTAAAGACTCTTAAATAGGTCGGGATCATTTTTCTTTTAGTTTTTTTAAGGAAAACGCTCTAAATTTGTTCTTACTGAAGTTTATTTTAATGCATTTGATTGTTGATTTTTTTTCATGGTCAGCTTATTGCTTTTCTTAAAAGGAAAGCAAACTCCACTATCGAACAGCGAAACTATAAAGGTCACGAAAAACGTGATCGAATTCTGGTTTCGAAAGAGGAATTTAATATTCAGATCTCCCAGCGAAATAAAATCTTTTCCTAATAATTTATTTTTCTCAAATTGGGTTGTTAGTCATATGTTGCTCCTGAAATTCAAAGAGCTTTAACGGCGTCTATTTTTTTGGAAATTCGAAAGTTGAAGTTTTTCAAATGATATGTCTTTTTTCAGTTTCCCTGCGTTCATTAATTCTTTTCCCACTGTCTAGGCTATGTTTAAATGCTCAACTCTGTAGTCATATCAGAAAAGTTTTAAGCCTGCGGAGGGATCGTCTGCAAGTGCCTAAGTCGGTGAACTTTTGTGGTAAAACTGTAGATGAACGGTTTAAGAGTACGACATTCCAAATGGCCTAACCCCAGTTTTCTCCCATTTAGAGATAAATTCTGTGGAATCAAGCCGTTCAACCTGTCCAAATTGCATCTGTTCAAAAACATCAAAGAGATCACGGGCCTACTGCATGTCAATAAATCCCCATTGAACAACTTCTCTTTCCTGCGAAACATCGAGGTCATCAAGGGTCAAGGAGTCACAGGGTGAGCTAATTTAAACACTTGATCGAGGCTAGAGACCGAAGTTTTTAGAAGAAAAGTTGAAGCAAGTTCTCAAATTCGGCGATTATCTATCTTTTAGATTCCATCTATTAGTCATCTTTTTAGAACCATATACGTTTTCGAGAACATTTTTGAGTTTTAATTTGCTCTTTCAAAGAGAAATTTAAAAAAAAATACATTAAACCAAATGCACTTAACTATTGATACTTTTGTAAGGATGGTTGCGCTGCGTGAAATTTATATCATTTGTTTAATCCTTGTGACAAAAAAAAGAAAAAGGAAAAAGGACTGCTTAGTTCAGAAGCATATCTGTTAAATAACAATTTATTCTGGATGAACCTTTAATTTTCTAACTGTGGTTTTTTCAATAATTTTGGATCCTATTTAATCAAATTTTTCTCAACGAAAATGGCTCGGATATCGAAAATTATAGTTAATTGAAACAGTGGGCATATGAATTTTTCGTGAGTTGGTTGCGTGACTTATTGACCGTTAATTTTGGCCTTGAAAACTTGCTTCAGTTTTTAAATTGGGTTTTTTTTTGGTGTATGAAAGTGCCAACTAAGTTTGATTTAGATGAAATAGTGCTTGGCGGCTTCCCAGTGTAACGGCTTTTTTCTTAATTTCACTGAGCCTAATTAACACGCGACCATGTTAGAGAAATTCCCTATGGGAGTCAAATTTCTATTCACGTCTCGTGCTGCCTTGTAACTTGAAAGCTATTCTTCGAGATCAAATTTGATACATAATTCGACGTCAAACTGAGTAAACTAATGAAATTTATGGCTTATTAGAAGGATCTTCGAGAATGTCTTGGAATCTAGATAATTGCATCGTCTGTAGTGAATGTTAGGTGGCAATTTACGGCCAATAAGACGACAGCTTTTAAGGTAACAATTTTTTCTGCGGCCATGCTGACGAAAATTTATATAACAAGGGCAGCCGGTTGCCGTCCAAATAGCACAGAATGTTCCGTGCCGATCTTAGATACGGTTGCTAAAAGATCATTTTTAAAGAGGGGCGAAGATTTTTTTCACCACAACTGACGAAAGGCGAAAATTTATCACGAGAAAGGCGAAGGTCAAAAAACGAAGTAATGACACTAAGTTTTTGTTCATTAAAAGTTCACGCTCGGCGATTAGACTTTTCTCGTAAGTTGACTTCAATTTCATTCGCTGAAAGGAAGGCAAATTACGCTCTCTGTTAAGAAAAATGTAACAAAAGTTTTCCATTTGTCTGATGGCGTTGTTTTGAATATTCCAATGGAGCTACCGCATATGACATTTGTTGGGTGGCAATTGATTTTGCGAAAAATACGCAACATTTTTTTTTATTGATGCGCATCCAAAATTTTTTTTATTTACGTTGACGGAACAACATTTTTAATGAACAAGAAGTAACTTATTCTCATTGCTCACTAGAGTTTATGTTTACGTCGCTAGAGCTCTTGTGAAACATGCAACCTTGTTGTCTAAATTTGCTGTCGTCTTATTTACCTACCATCCCTTGGTGTTTATTGCTACGTACAATTCACCTCAGCCTAATTACGAAGAATACTCTTGAGACCAGGAATTTCAAAATTTTAGGTCAAATTTCAATAGTTACAAAAGTCAAATAGCTTAATTGTGACTATTTTCAGAGAGAAGTAAGTAGTAAATGCACGTGCAGCTACGAAATTTTAATTTGAGTTGATTTGAATCATTTACTGGATGATGATCTCTCAAAGGGATATGTCTATGCAATAATTTAGTATTAGCCTGGCTGCCATTCAAACAAAACGTGATATCTTGCATTGACCAGAGATTTGGTCTGAAATGCATTTCGTCCGATCAAAAAATGGTGATACGTGCAACGGTAGAAATTGGGATTTAGTAAAAATCGAACGGTACTGAAATCTCATTGAGAAAAAAACGACAAGCTCTAGCGAGTTTTAAAGCTAAGGTTTGATTCTTATATTGGAAGCGAAAATTTATCAAGCGAACATCCGATGATAATGAATTATTTGATGGTTCAAGACAAAAATCGGGAAAACAGTAGGGCGAAATGTATTTGACACTGAACGACTGGTGATCGATCCCGTCATTATTACAATGTTAGCTGCTATCGTTAACTAGTTTCATCTGAGTAACAAGCATTAAAACGGACTGATTGATTCTTTAGTCATTTTCAACTTTCTTGAGATATGAAGAATACAACCAACCTCACACACCTTTCATCTTATTCCCAACCACCATCCATCCATCCACCGAACACACGTGTTCTTAACTCTCAATTGCTTAAAACAGGGTGATTCTGCGCCTAGTGGCAATCGTCATTACAGCAACCATTTTCCAACTTTTTTTATAGTGGCCAAAAAAAGATTGAATAATTCTTAAATTGTAATCGAGGTTAGTTTTAAAATATTGCTTTCGTGCTTGATGCGTTTTGACGCTTATTGACGTTTTCATCCTGAGAAATTAATTGCCTAGTTTGGCCATTGCAAAGTTTTTCCGTCTCGTTTTAAGTTAAATGCATCTTCGATAGCACGCTTTTTTGAGGGAGGCAAAAATGTGAAAGGTTTTATTTGAAGATGCAAAATGGATACGTTTGCCTTTTTAGTAACTTCATAACCTTGTCTGTTTGTTTAGCTAAGTGTTTTTACTGCTTACATCTTAGTGCCAACTTGAAAGACTGGAATTGTCACAAATGCTGTTTCCATTCTTTTAATTCCAAATAAGATACTTGCTTCACATGCGTGAGCTGAACCGTTTTCGGGCAAATTAGAAAATCCGGTCATTTTCATTTTGACTTAACTATGGATTTCCATACTCGTCAATTTCAAATTTAGATAGTTATTAATGTTTCGATGAAACCAAAAACTATAAACTGGCTCGTAATAACATAGTTATATGAAATGATGCGTCTTTTCGGTTACACCCCTATGGCAGAAATTTGAATTTCGATAAGAATAAATATGTTAATCAAAACTAATGTGACGCTTTAGCGTAGGTTTGAGTCAATGTCATATTTTGGGGGTTTAACGGAAAAGACTCGAAATGAGGAGTTACAAATTGATGTGATGTAAGGAAATTGTGTTGTTGCTTTTAGTCAGCACCACACTGTAGGGTTCGTATCAATATTTGTATGAGTCATGCTTCGAATCATATTCGACTCATCTGAACATTAGCGGCCTGATTTGTTACTATCTCACATTGAGTTTCCAATTCCTAGAGGAAATAAATATTACTAAATCTCCATGTGTTCTTTGCCACAAGGATGGATCTAGTTACCAATCCTCCGCTATGTGGCCTTATACGAAACTTTCGAAAAGGTGCGTCAAGAAGTTTCAATCTAGTTATGCTTAAGTAAGTCGTATAATCTTGGTTCTAGAAATTAATGAAAAGTATTGTTATCAAAAGCAAACACAAGTAACACGCGTGTTTTCTAGGATATAGTTAACTAGATCCAGCCAGAAAAAAAAACATTCTTAAAAAGCTCTCCTCAACTCGGCAGCATTGATTGCAAAGCTTTGAAAAGCCAAGTCTAATCATCGCAACCTTAAAAAATACCCGCAGGGTCTAACATTGCGAGTCGGTTTTCTGCATGCAACCAATAAAAGTGTACTTTAAATTGAGCGTTTTGGCAAGCCTAAAAATGGTTACCTCAGGATTGTTTTTAAATGCAATTGAAGGGAGGGGAGCTATTAGCTACTAGGTCGTGTTTACACTTGCGAAGCTAGTGTAATAGTACGAACCTTCTTTTTTCAACCATAAATGCAAATATTGGTGCCGCTTTTGGGGCACCTTTGCAGCTTTTTGATAGCATGTGCTTTGACGTTCGAATAGTGATAAATTAACATAGTTGATTCATTTTCATTCATCAAATCAATCGAAAAAAAGCTAATTGTTTCAAACAACATCACAATAATAAAAACTCGATTTTAGAATATTTCTTACTCAATATATCTCGCAATTTTTTTTGAAATGCATAATTTATACACAATGTGGCTTTATGCTTTGCGATTTGTTACTTGCAAAATTTGTGCGGATGCCTTTAATTTGTTGTTTTCCCTTATTACTTGCAAAATTGATTTTTTTTTGTATTTGGTGCCACTTTTGCTGAATCGCAATGGTAATTTATTAGCATATGTAGCTGCTTTATTCGTGACTAGTCGGAATTGTCGGTTGTGAAGCTTGCGTGGCTGTGAGGATAGTGCGTGAGAGCAGTGGAGCGCATATTCGAATCCTACTTGTTTTTGCTAATTCAAGGCTTATATCTACTTTTTCTTATTTCTTTTGATAGAGCTGCTTTTTGGTCGTGTTCTCGCAAGTGTTTGCAAAGCTTGTAATATTTTGTTCCGACCACTGAAAGTAGGGAGGACGTGGGTATTCGGATATGTCTTCGAGATTAAAAGCATTAAGTGATTTTCACTTATATAGGTCTTTCAGGAAAAAGTCATACATATGAATGCACGTACCGGTAGGTATATTTGCACTTTTTGAGTTCAATTCATTCCTCTGCTAGAAGTAAGCTCTAAATGCTCTACAATAACGAAAGCGGAATTGGCAAGAAAAAAAGTGAACGACTTCTAGTTAAATTTTTAGACTTCCTAGCGGAAATTTTTTTTCATTGATCCAGTTTTCTTCACTTGGGTTAACTCTATCAAATAGTGTTAATCATAAATCGTTCTTGAAATTTGCAGAGTTTTAATTGTAAATATTTTACGTTTGCAATAACCAAGCGTTATTAAACTAAAATACAGATTTTTTTGGGTTAACAACTTGTTTAATAAAATCACTTGAATCTCTAGACTTTATTCACGTGCAAATTCAAGCTCTACCGGTCTGCTGTTACTACTGACAGTTCTTTTAAGAAGTAATGTCCTAAGTTTTTGAAGACAAAATATTCCGTTTCATGAAACTTTTCGGACTATCTTTGGTCTGATTATGTTTTGTCGGCTCAATTAGTTTTTCAGGCACACATGATTTTTAAGAAAAATACTA